AAAAAAAAAAAAATAAATAAATAAATAAATAAATTGGGGGCATGTGATAAGGGAGAAAATATACATTTATTAGGCGACACGTGGCTCTGGAGAATAAAGACACGTGTACTCCAAGGACCATCAGTGTCCAAGGTCGAGGCTGAAGTCGAACCTCAATTTAGGCCTAAGGTCCCGAGGAGCCTTACTCTGGGCCCAAGGTCCTTAAGAGAATTACTGTAGGCCCAAGGTGCAGAGGAGCTTTACTTTGGGCCCAAGGTCTGAGATCAGCCCACCAAGCTAGTGGGCTGGGAAGTCCTCCGTCTACAGAAAGGAGACCTAGGTCCTCCCACTCCTATAAAAGGACGACCTGGGTCAAGGTAAGGAATATACTCTCACTACTCCAAACTCTCTCTTCTACTCATTCTGCAGCCACCACCTCAGAAAACCTAAAACCGATTCTAACTTAAGCATCGGAGGGTCTACCCCTGGGGACAACCCCGGGGTTCTGTTTTGCAGGCGTTGGAGCAAAGGAGACGAGTTCAGGAAGTCGTCGGAGCATCAATCGTCGCCACGTGTCCTCTGACTAACGTCAAGTAATTCTTGTATCATCATATATATATATATATATATATAATATTTTGTACGAAAAGAATAAAACCAGACAAACGGAACGGTTCGGGAAAAAAAATATTCAAAACCGATATCAGCATTGTTTAAAACGATTTCGTATCGGGAACAGAACAAAAGTAAAGAAAACCTTTTCAGAACCATATTTTTTGGAACGAGACCATTTAGGTCCGGTTCGATACCAAAAAATTCGGGTTTTTTTATTCCCACCCCTAATAATTTCAAACAACATGTTAATATAGAGGCACACGCCGGTCTAGATGATTAATTTTGCAGTCATCTAGACCGTCTAAGTACCGCTAGTTTCCTTGGATGGAGCTTAATTGCCCGAACATATAGAATAGTTGCTTAGACAAAAATCAGGTGCCACATAACACTTATGTGCTATTTAGCCAGTTGCTTAGCTTAATTTTAACACATTACTTATGGCATCTCGTAAGGGCATCCTGCCTTATGATAGAGTATTATATGACGACAACAACTTACACAGTATATTCCCAACTGGTTGGAGTCTGGGGAGTCAGTTGTACGCAGACCTTACCCTTGTAATTATACAAGGAGGTTATTTCCGTAGCAACCCAAGTTGCATTGCGTCGTTTGATATATTTTTTTCTAGATATTTCACTAATAGAAGAAACACCAGAATTTATTTGAGTCATTTTGATCTAGTCCATTATTAGCACTATGTCAGGAAATTGTCAACAATGACTCTTCCAGCTCCATTTAATAGAGTATTATATGACACCTTACAATATTATTTTTTTAATGTCAGTAAAGTATAAGTTTGTGGTAATTTATTGTATGACTGTAATAACGTTCACTTGATGGCTTGATAGGTTTTTACCTCATCAAACGCTATATTGCTTGAACTTCTCTATGAACGCGACAGGCGACATGAATGTCACTAGAACACCATTGATCTTTTTGGATTTGACTTGAAAGAAGTGGGTGTCGTCTCTTTACTTCTTGGAAAAGGGTCGCCGCCTCTTTTTCTTGGCATTCTTCTCTATTGAACGTGCTTCGGAGGCTCGGACGCTTGATTCCAGATTGACCATTGATCTTCAGCTTGAGTGACTTGAGTTGTGAGGTCACATTATTGGCTTTGGGAGAATCCTTACTTATAAGCGTAGAAAAGATAGTCTTGGAAAAGAAAACACCAATTTTTTCCAAAACACCAATTTAATTGGTCTTTCATCATATAATCTCTTTCTTTATGAGACGATCCTTCCGCCAACCCTCCCCCTCGACCGTAATGACCCAATACAACCAGACAAACAACAAATAATTCAAGATAAATAAGATATATGATTGATAAAATATTAAAATGTCGATTCCAACACCGCCTTACAATATATATTTGTTAATGTTACATGACATATAACATAGGTAAGATGTAGATGTTTAGTGTAAATCATTTGTCTGCGTTTCGAGTTGTTGCTAGGTAAAGTCTAGACACAATGAATAGTCTCTTTTCAAGGTGAATCTCTACTGGCTGGTACACTGAAAGAGTCGCTTTAATACAAATGAATTCATTTTGAATGAAAATCCATATTAGTCAAGTATTTTGCATTTTAGTTGTAATAAATCTGCATAAACGTAAACCAAGTGGGAAAACTTGCACTTTGTCTCCATTACAGAAATGCGGACTGTTCGCACGAAATCTGTTCAGCCATATCAATCAAGAAAACAAACAAGAAAAAACAGCAAAATCGAATAAAGCGGGTGACAAGAAAAGACCTTTGTTTTGTATCAACGTTGTAGTTACTATTCTATAACCAGTAATTAGTAAACCACAAAAAAAAAAAAAAAAAAAAAAAAAAAAAAAAAAAAAAAAAAAAAAGTGCAATTTCGGCAAGCACATCAAACTTCAGCTATATCTCATGGGTCTCTTATGAAAAACTTTTCAGTAACTTACCAACTAAGTGAGCAATCCAAAACCAAACCCTTCTTTACTTGCCGTTAGTGTTCCCGTGCTTGTGAAAAGGCCAGAGATTGACCAGGCGTTCTAACACAGCTGCACTTTTCGAGAAATAGCCCGAAAATCCTTGAGGGACCGCAGGGGGCGGGAAGTCTTCAGCTGGCATCGCAAATGGACGGATCATCTTCTCCATCATCTCTAGAGTCAAATATGACCCAACTTCCTGCAGTCTCTCGGGACCCATGATGGGCAATGTGTGCTCTTGCCGTAATGAAGCTACCTCGTTATCATTTCTCTATCATTTTTTTTGTAAGAAAAAACATATTAAGGAAAAAAGAAAAGAGGTACTAAATGTAAATTGTTTATGTGGAATCAAC